CCTTTTGTTACTCATGGGGACTTTTATAATCCATTGGAATCCTTTTATTTATATTGTTTCAATGTTTCTTTTTCCTTCTGTTATTGATAGGTGTTTGGGTATTTTCATTTAAGTTGCTATTACGCCTTTATAACATTTGATGCATGCTAACACTATTATTTTGTGTAGGTCAGGTTGGAGAACTGGAGCACATGCTATGTGCTAATTCTAATATTTCCCGATTATTAAATAAATAAATAATTTCCTCTTGGAATATTTTATGTTTTAGATTTTTGAGCTTCTAATTTATTTGATGTTAATTAAAATGATCTGTAAATATTTTTTTCTCCAACTCAAGATTTTCTATTCACCTCAGAAATCTAACAGTGATTGAATAAATCATATTTTCATGACCTCCATCATATGTAAAGTTTATTACAGGAAGGAGACACTGTGAAACCAAAAGCTCTAAATGTTGTTTATTGGTTCCAGCGGTTCGGTCCAGTCCCAGAGGGCTTCCTCTGAGCTTCCAGTAGGGGGCGTCTCCTCACTTGTTAGCGTCCTTCACCTTGCTGTCGTACGTTCCGGCGTCCTTGTACGCGTTCACGTAGCCCGTGTGCTCCACCAGGTCTTCGCGGCCTTCGCGGCCTTTGCCGCGGCCGCTGTCGTCGAAGCGCTCCTTGTGGGAGCCGGTGTAGCGGGACGTGTCGGTCAGACGGTCCACCGCTGTCGTCTTCGCCACTTTCTGAGGGACACAGAGGACAGGAAAGAAATGGGGGACAAGTGATGCTACTTCCTGTCTGCTCAGCAGAATGAGACAGAAAAGTTGGGAGTTCCTGACTTGATCAGAAATATTTCGATAAAAATCAAGACTTCAATGCTCCTGATTGGAAGTGGAAAACAGATGATGAAGAACAGAATGAACAGAACGAGTGTTTGGTCCCAGCAGCGACTGAAGTCAGTCAGTTGGAGGATCTTATGACATAATGTAACATTACCACTATGTTTGATTTAGGGCGGGGCTGTAGGGGTGGGGCTGTAGGGGTGGGGCTGTAGGGGGTGGGGCTGTAGGGGGTGGGGCTGGAGGGGCGGGGCTGGAGGGGCGGGGCTGTAGGGGGTGGGGCTGTAGGGGGCGGGGTTTCATCAGTAGTTCAGTGATTTTCCTCTGAACATCTTTGCTTCTCAGAAAGTCGGATTAGCAGAAGCTAATCGACAGTCGGACATTTTGTGCTCTAAACTCACCCGATCCAGCATTTCTAGAAGCTTCCAGTCGGATACAGAAACTCAACGTGATTCAACTGAACAGGAAACGTCTGACGAAGGCTCACCGTCACGCCGACGTTGGTCGGCTCTTGGCCCTCCACCAGCTTGTGAATGGACTGCAGCGCAGCCTCTTTACTTTGACCTTTGAACCTCTTGGGAGCCAGTTCTTCCAGTGCCTGCTGGAACTCCTTGTAGCTGATGACCCGAGCCGACCTTTGTCTGCAAGACACAGAGATATTCCATCAACAACCTGCATCTCAGACCTTCACCGGAACCTTTATTCGCTCCAGAACCTCCAATGGATCCAAACTGAATCTGCTGCTTGTCCATGAGTCATGAGAGGAGACCCCGGCCCCATGTGGATCCGCTGCAGAAAAACTCACTTCACTTTGGAGAAGACGATGTCCACGTCGGTGCCGGTGACGCTCTTCCCGTCGATGACCCGGCAGTCCTTGCACAGCTTGGCCCAGGCCTTCCCGGTCAGCTCCCTGCCGCTCGCCTTCGTGTCGCCGTAGACCGAGAACTTCTTGAAGGCCACGAAGAGCGGCTCCGCGTCCGAACTGACCGCCATGATGGTCAGTCAATGCACCGTCACTCTGAACAGAACCCTGCTGGCAACAGGAAGTAGGCAGAAGATCTCAGAAATCAAAGCATTCAATAACAGATCAGAAACAAAGACTCCATTAGTCTAACAGCAGTTCAAGAACCAGAAAACGTTTCTAAGGTTCTGGGCTCCATAGAACCATAGAACAACCATGGTCCTCACCCGGACCAGAACCTCCTACAGAACCTCTGTCATTTCCGGAACATCTGGTTTGATCCAGTCACCAACAGGTCCAGTTCTGATTGGTTCAGGTGCCATTAAAGGTGAATAATGGATTCAGTTGATCCACACCGTGCAGCCAATCAGATGACCTCTTCCTGGTGTGACAGGGTGTGTGTGTGTGTGTGTGTGTGTGTGTGTGTGTGTGTGTGTGTGTGTGTGTGTGTGGTGTGTGTGTGTGGGGATGTGTGTGTGTGTGGGGGGTGTGTGTGTGGGGATGTGTGTGTGTGTGGGGGGGGGGGGGATGTGTGTGTGTGTGTGTGTGGGGATGTGTGTGTGTGGGGATGTGTGTGTGGGGGGGGGATGTGTGTGTGGGGGGGGGGGCGGGGGGATGTGTGTGTGTGGGGGATGTGTGTGTGTGTTTTCTCAGTGTGTTTTAGCTTCTCTTCAACAACTTCTTGTTAATCCATATTATAATCCCATATCCTCACATATGAAACCATCTCAGACCCAATTGGTCCCGATGTTCCTACCAGAACCCTCTGGTACCAGACTGCTGGTACTGGAGGTTCTGGTTGCAGTGGGGGGTGGATCCATCAGTCCCAGGTTATTTGCTGGAGGTTTCTTCCTGTTAAAGGGAGTTTTTCCTGTTTTGTCGCCCCCTGCGGGCCAGGTGGAATGATGCTCTGCTGGGTTTCCTTTGACAGAAATTTGAATCAGTTTGAATACTTAATGAACTGATATTTCTGTAAACTCTCTTTTCGAAATGTTGCAGCACTTTGTTGCCTTCAGGGTTTGATTCCTTTGTCCAACAGGAATCCTGCATCAGTTCTCTCTTGGTTCTCCAGCTGTCCAATCACCACAGAGCTTCATCAAAAAAAAACCAATCAGTGTCATCAGGTGAGGAAGATGAAGAGCAGTAAGAAAAGAATTGATTTCATTGAATGAAATCTTTGCAACAGTGATTTGTTCTTTCCCTCATCACATCTCTGACCAACACAATCATTATATTCTCACCAGCCCGGTTCAGTCCTTTTGTTTAGAAAATCCGGTCCAGTTGGTGTGAATGCTAATCGACCTCTGACTTCTGACCTCTGGTCCTCCAGACCTTGGTCTGGGTTCGGTTGAAGTGAACTCTGGTTTGGTTTGAATGTGAACGGCAAGTGGATCAGAGAATGTTCCAAAAGCAGGAAGTGGACTACAGCACAGGGCATTCTGGGCAAATCCAACCAAAACTAACATGCTAGCCTAGCGCTAGCAGCAGAAATGGCTCCTGGTCTTCAGCCAAAGACTAAAGAGAAATCACTAAACTCTGACGCCTCCATCTTGTTTCATCTGGTGAAACAGGAAGTTGCACTCAGTGTCTTCAGAGGTTTTAGTGTTGTTTCCTGCAGTGGTTCTTGGTGCAGCGCCCCCACAGGCCAGGAGGGAACAGGCTGGTTGGACTCAGAACCACTGCAGCTGGAGATGTTAAATGTTCTGGGTCAAGTAGAACCGGGTCGACTGGACAGAAGGAGGAAAACATCATGAGTTGGAGCCACTGACCAGAACAGAACCTCTCTGCAGTCTTCTGACCCAATGGACCTCTTCACCACTTCACCAGAACTATATGGACCCTTCCTTCCCCCACATTAAATGGTATCATATTAAAGCAGATTCATGACCTCTGACCTCTGCAGATTAATTAATGAGTTATAGAATGTCACAGCTGTAGAATTGGGCTAAGAAGGTAAAGAAGGACATCAGAGCACTGGACCAGTGGAACTGGACCGAGACCAGAACCCAGCAGACATTTGTCATCATAAAAATCACACTGCAGTTTGGATTAAAAAATAATTCATAAGATCCTTCTGGCTGTTTTGTTGCAGTGATAACAAAACAGCCAGAGCATATGATGGCAAACCCTGACACACACTCACACATTCACACACACACACGCACACACATTCACACACACACACGCACACACACATTCACACACACACGCACACACACATTCACACACACTCACACATTCACACACACACACACGCACACACACACATTCACACACACTCACACATTCACACACACACACACATTCACACACACACACACACACTCACACATTCACACACACACGCACACACACATTCACACACACACACACACGCACACACACACATTCACACACACTCACACATTCACACACACACACACACACACATTCACACACACACACACTCACATTCACACACACTCACACACACACACATTCACACACACACACACACTCACACATTCACACACACACACACTCACACACACACGCGCACACACACACACATGCACACACACACACACACATGCACACACACACACACACACACACATACATACACACATACACTCACATTCACACACACTCACACACACACACATTCACACACACTCACACATTCACACACACACACACTCACACACACACGCACACACACACACACATTCACACACACACACATACATACACAACACACACACACACACACACACACACACACATACATACACACACACACACACACACATACATACACACACACACACACACATACATACACACACACACACATACATACACACACACACACACACACCACACACACATACATACACACACACACATACATACACACACACACACACACACACACACACACACATACATACACACACACACACACACACACACACATACATACACACACACACACACACACTGTTTTAATCCAGTTTTCTCTGCAGCAGTCAGATGCTTGGCGAAGCAGCAGTTCTCAGGTCCGATGGTTTCTGAAGACCAGAACCCAGCAGGTCTACCAGGAAATCCTTTCAAGGTAAAAGCTTCAAAAACTGAAATAAGGTCAAAGTTCAAACCTGAGCTCCTTGATGTCTCACGTCCTCCTGCGTCTGTCTCCGACTGTCCTCTGGTTCGAGGCTCCGAGGCGCTTGTTATCGTCTGTTTACCCCGTCGCCATGACGCCAGCCTGTCCCACATCAGGGGAGGGGCAGTGAGGCAGAGGAGGAAGAGGAGGAGGACGAAGCCGGGCAGCTCCCAGTGCTTCAGGTCAGAGGTCAACACACACACACGTTCCCTTGATGAAGCCACAGTGAGGCACAATGGATTCAAACTGATGGAAACATGATGAGGTCAGAGGTCACATTCTGTTCCTTGTGAAGCAGAATAATCAATAGGTTTGATTATTTGCTCCTTCATCAATCAGCAAAAAACCCCAAGTTTGTAAACGGGAACGTAAACATCTGTGGGAAATTGAAGCTCTTGAACTTCCTGATGTCCCACAGCTGTTGCTGTTTGTGTGTCCATCGCCATGACAACCATGATCCACATTAAGACTGTAAACATGCGAGAGAAAACGAGTTGATGAAAAAATCAATAAAAATAATTACGGCTCAGTTATCCAGTTAATTATTGAACCAAACAATTGTTGAAAACACCTGATAAGCTTCATTTGATCCACATACAGCTGCTATCGTAGCTAGCTAAGCTAACGTGCTCCAGTACCCTGGACCTAAACCCAGATGCTGTCCTGGAAGTCGAGAGGACGGCCATGATGGAGGACGGCCGTGATGGAGGACGGCCATGATGGAGGACGGCCATGATGGAGGACGGTCATGATGGAGGACGGCCATGATGGAGGACGGTCATGATGGAGGACGGCCATGATGGAGGACGGCCATGATGGAGGACGGTCATGATGGAGGACGGCCATGATGGAGGACGGTTATTATGGAGGACGGCCATGATGGAGGACGGTCATTATGGAGGACGGCCATGATGGAGGACGGCCATGATGGAGGACGGTCATGATGGAGGACGGCCATGATGGAGGACGGTCATTATGGAGGACGGCCATGATGGAGGACGGCCATGATGGAGGACGGTCATTATGGAGGACGGCCATGATGGAGGACGGCCATGATGGAGGACGGTCATGATGGAGGACGGCCATGATGGAGGACGGTCATGATGGAGGACGGCCATGATGGAGGACGGTCATTATGGAGGACGGCCATGATGGAGGACGGCCATGATGGAGGACGGTCATTATGGAGGACGGTCATTATGGAGGACGGCCATGATGGAGGACGGTCATTATGGAGGACGGCCATGATGGAGGACGGTCATTATGGAGGACGGCCATGATGGAGGACGGTCATTATGGAGGACGGCCATGATGGAGGACGGTCATTATGGAGGACGGTCATGATGGAGGACGGCCATGATGGAGGACGGTCATTATGGAGGACGGTCATGATGGAGGACGGCCATGATGGAGGACGGCCATGATGGAGGACGGCCATGATGGAGGACGGTCATGATGGAGGACGGCCATGATGGAGGACGGTCATTATGGAGGACGGTCATGATGGAGGACGGCCATGATGGAGGACGGCCATGATGGAGGACGGTCATTATGGAGGACGGCCATGATGGAGGACGGCCATGATGGAGGACGGCCATGATGGAGGACGGTCATTATGGAGGACGGCCATGATGGAGGACGGTCATTATGGAGGACGGCCATGATGGGTCACTTTTAAGCGTCCGTCCTACCAGCCTGCAGGGTAAGCATTTTCAGATAGAGGATGGACGGACGTCTCTGTCCACCAGTCTTTGCTGATCCAGTTTTTCCTGCTCTCTGTCTGTCAGGCGTCTCTTTGTGATTTTTAAACTGTAATAACGCAACTAGAGATTATTATGGTCTGGATGTGTCTGAAGGATGGAGTAACTATGGAAACCTGTCCTCCTGTTGGCCGTCCTCATGCACTCTTTACAAACCGCAGCCTGGCTGTGTGTGTGTGTGGGTGTGGGTGTGTGCGAGTGTGTGTGAGTGTGTGAGAGTGTGTGTGAGTGTGTGAGTGTGTGTGTGTGTGGGGGGGTGTGTGTGTGTGTGTCACATTCTTTTCGCTGCCCTCCTTTGTGAGTGACGTTGTTTTGATGTTGTTGGAGGCTGGTTGCCAGAGCAACCGCTCCTCATCCAGGGAGGATGATGACATGCAGCAACACACCCAATGATATCAGCCTGTCAAAATAAAAGCCTCTAGTGTTGCCTGTGACTGACAGATCATATTGGTTGGCTTTAATGTGTGTGTGTGTGTGTGTGTGTGTGTGTGTGTGTGTGTGTGTGTGTGTGGTGTGTGTGTGTGTGTGTGTGAACCATGTATCAGATGCATTGAGGGGACCCACTGCACCTGGTGGGCCCCATGAGGGGAGATGTTGGTTTGGGTTTTGAGTTTGGGTCAAAGGTTAGAAAAAAATGGAAAGACAGAGACAGAACCCAGCAGCAGGACGTGATGTGGGCCGGTTCTGGTGGAGCTGGGTGTCCTGTGGTTCTGAGCAGTCAGAACCAGAGGTCTGGTTTTAATAAAGGTCAGGACCTTTGGGTGTCAGGATGCAAAGTTCAGCTCAGCTTTTAGATTCAGAAGTTAAGCTGAAATGGGTTGGTTCTGAAGGTTCTGGTTCAGATGCACTGAGAACAGAACATTCTCTGAGAATTTGACACAAATTCTTCCTGAGGTTTTCAGTCATCATGTTGTTGACCTTTGACCCCAGATGGCTTGGTTGGTGTGAAGGTGAAGCCAGAGCGTTCTGACAGAACTTCCTGTGTCGTCCACTGAGGGACAGCTCAGAGCTGTGGACTCGGACCCCTTCTTTTATGTTCTCTTTGTTCCTCTGTTAGTTGGAAACCTCGGTGACCCCGCAGCCTGAGCGAGGCTGCAGGTCAGAGGTCAAAGGCCTTTCCATGCCGCTTGCTCTTCGGCTCTCTTCCTCTATCTCTGAATGTTTTGCGTTTTCATGTAAATGTGTTCTGTAAAGAACGTATGGAAATCAGTCCAACCTTTTCTGCTACGATTTCCTTTCATTAAACTTTCCATTAGTATTATTGCATGCAGCAACCCAGCTGGTTCAGTAAAATGATGTTTTTTGGTTGTGATGAAGAGGATTGTGCGAGTGTGGCGTTTATTGCAAACAGTGACATCACACAGATGACTCCGCCCCCTTGCTTCTCAGATTTAAAGGAACAATTCACATCCACACATTCAGACTTCAGGTCAGAAGCAGGAAGATGAAGAGAAGAGGCACAGCAGAGTAGAAACAACCTTTGACCCGGAAGCAGTGTTCTGCAGTTCACATTTTCACCAAATATATTGGTCCAGTCTGAGTGATCACCTTGATCCGTTTCAACTGAACCCACTGAACGGCGTCCGATCCGACGGGGTTGAAACTCAGAGGAAGTCACCTTGGCTTTCAAATTAAAAGTCTTGCCCACCAATAAATACACATAACCTTTCACAATAAAAGTCCCTTTCCAACAGCAGTTGTTGTGTCAAGTCAGAACTCGGTCCTCGAGGCTGGACCACAACCAACGAACCCGGTCAGGACTCCAGAAGCGGTCTAGACCCGATCTGCGTCCAGCCGAGAACTTCAGCCGTCTCTCTGCTGGCACGGCTGACGAACACAGATGGCGGCTTTGACGCCATTTCAAACCTCAGCTGAGCAGTGGTTCTGTTCACTCGAGAGGATAGGTTCTTCTTCCTGGTCTTGTTGAGCACAGGAGCGGGTCGGTCCGGCAGGGGGCTGTGGGTCCTCGGGCCAGACGGCGGTCCGGCCGGCGAGACGCCCCGGTGGCATCGCGGAGGACGAGGAGCCCAGCTTGGCCAGCGCCACGGGGATTTCCTCCAGGGACTCGGCAGAATCCGAATGGTACTCGGCCGGGGGGGCGGCAGCCTGGATGGGGCCCGGGGCCGGGGGTGTGTCCTGGGGGACCCTCAGAGGCAATGGTGGGAAAGGAAGCCGCTGACCAAAGGAGGACTCTGCTGGAGAACGAAAGGACAATGGGGTCAGAGGTTAGGAACACAACTTTAGATGAACTCATCAGTAAATACTGGGGTCATCTTCAGCCATTCAACAGTTTACCATGTTTTGTTCTTCAAAGCTTTTCTGGAATAAAAAACACTGGGGTTCCCAACCTGCGCGAGCGGTTAGACCGCCAATGCAAGGCAGTCCGCTTGACCTTGTTGGAACCTTGTTGTTGGAGCCCTGTTGAAATCTTGTTGAAACCTTCAGGACCACGCTGCTACTTGGTTACACATATTCAGGTAGATTCACCTGGAGGTGGCGCTATGGTAGAAATAAGGGTTTCAGCTTTCAATTATAAAACTGAATGTTCCATTCACAAAATTGCTGTGTTCAACGTTTCTTAGAAATAGACAGATGAGCAGCTGTGCAAAAGCTTCTGCCAAGAACAGAGGAGGTGTATTCCCCCAGGAACACCCTCCTTCATAAGTAGTCGCCTCTCTGAAGACCTGCCAGTCTGTGCACTGAAAACAGTCCTGGGCCACACAGTGACTGTCTTCTTCGTTGGTCTAATCCGTCTCATCAGGGACGATATGCTGGCACCAGCAGGATGCAGATGTGGTCGTTGAGGCCAAGCTAGGGGTGAGGAAGAGCTCTGAATGTTGCTGTACACAGTCCAGAGTGTTGCCTCTGCATGTAGGAAAGGCGACATGCTGGTAAAACTGGCCATTTTCGTCCCCTGCAACCAGGTAAACTGCCTCCGTGTGCTTCATCTGCAGTGACCTAATGCTGTCATTCATACAAGTTCTTTGAAGATCCGTGATCATTTAAGAGAACAGCATTGACAAAATTCAGCATAAATGACAAGCAAGGTTAGTCATTTGGTAAATTTCCAGATTTTCACTACAAATTACCACATTTTGGACATTTTGAACATATAAAATTTATTGAACAAAGAACAAACCACGCCACCTCCGTAGTGTAGTTGTCCTAACTGGCCACTTGATGGAGCCAAATGCATATTCTCTGGGCCAGCAACATTTGCATGTAGTACTTCAATTCTGCTCCATTTCAGTTCAGTGTTTATCTCAACTACAATCAATGTCAAATCGTTTCATCCACACATACCGCCACACCTTCACAATGAAATTTCTTTTGAAAAATTTATCTTAAAATAATGCACCTTTGAAGTTTCTTTGTTTCAAATGAGAGAGGAAAAAATCCAGTAAGATTTTAAAGAGGTCTTAAATACAGCCAACCAAGCGTGGTGCTTTTCTCACAATCAGAAGCCATCCAATGCTTTCTATTGCTGTGACTGTCCATATGAGTAACTATCTCAGTTGTATAGAATTGAAAGATACTTTCCATGTGAACATTGTCAAAAGTTTAACAACAACTTCTGACCAGTTTTATTGTCCTATTTGGGTAGGATGACTCATAGGATAATGTCTTATTATTATGGTCCTTTTTGAGACATTTGTTTGCTGTGTTTTCTGAATTTGTTGATTTGTTTTTGTGTAAAGTGCCTTAAAATTAAATTTTTGATCCGGTGACGGGTTTTCACGTTTTTGCATTAATCCTCTTCATATACGACACCAGCGTGTTCTTTGAAGGAGGTGATGCAAGACACCGTTTAGCTGACTGTGGAGATCAACAAGTGACCATGGCTCACACTGGGCGTGACAGTACATTTATTTTCAAGATTCCTGCATTTGAAACCTTCGGGTCCAAAAGCCATCCTGGAAAACGGTGAGCAGTTTGACTCAGGCAGAGCAAGGAACCCATCACAACTGCTTGCAGTTCTAGCTGTTGATATTATTATAGCAATTATTATTATCATTATAATTATATCCCGCTAAGAAAGCTTACTACAACATCTTCCATTATTGTTTGAAACCAAAGCTAATTATTTTACATCAAAACAACATGGAGTATGGGGACAGGGACAGATCTTTATATTATTCCAGATATCAACACAGTGATAAATGTTTTGTAATTTTATGATGAACTAAAGATCAACCATCCGCACAGGACTCATTTGAGCAAAGTCTCTCCGATTAAAGCATCCTTACCTCTGCTAGAGAGACGAAGCTATTGGTGAATCTGGAAAAGCAACTGAAGTTCCCCAGCCTCATTGCTGCCTCATTGCTCAGACACACGTCTTGTGTCTGCGGTCATCCAGCAAATCGTGCTGCTGGAGCTGACAGTCCCAGGGGAAGTTTGAACAAGAGCCTGAGAAAAAGTTCTCCAAGAACAAATGGCTGATCAGTGACTGCAAGCAGGCAGGCTGGAGAGCAAATGCTTCACATATGAGGTTGCTGCAGATTTTATGGCTGAGTCTTTGGTCAGAGTATTGAGGGAGAACGCAAGACAAGAGCCCCCATTGCATCACTGAAGCAGCAGAGATGGCCTCAAGATGGGGTGCGGCTTAAGAGAGAATTGTGGAGTCAAAGTAGCTAATTAGCCACCTGGATAAAAGCAGGGACTGAACATCCCTGGATGGGTCACCTGGAAGAGAGTGCGTGAAGATGAAAGATTCAAAACACGCAATGATGCCAGGAACATCTAGGAACAACTAGGCCTGTCGCGATAAACAAGTCAATTAATCGCACGATAACTTAAAACTATCGATCTCATTTAATTACCGGCTTTATCGTTTCTTCCGGCCTTTTTCTCTTTCTGTTGATGACACTGAATGAAAAGGGCTCAACTCCGATGTTCTCCACTGACCCTCCTTCCTCATTTGCGTAATGCCCAGCGCACGCTGCACCATCTTAGAGCTGTCTGCAGGTTGTCGGCCCATTTTCAAAACCTGAGAGACCACATACTAGTCGACAGAACTCCTCAGTATAACGGTTCAATCAGGTTCAATCGTGCCGTGTGGTGTCCAACAATGGGCACAAAATAATGGCTACAAGTCTAGTTAACTCATTTAAAAAAAGGCATTTACTACAATCTACCTGCAATGCATATGACTAGTGTCAGTCCTGACTGAATGAAAATCATTGTAACCTATTTATGTCACTTTAATGACAAGCAGCTGAGAAGTTACAGGGCTTATTAACTGCGGTAGCATTTGAGAAAACTCCTCCCCTTGTCATTTCTATTTCTTTCCACAAACTGTTGAATAGACATTAATATTGTTTCCACATATCATCTCTAATGTCCGCTGGATTTCAGGTTGCGCCTGTCAGCTTTTTGGGATTCTCCTCTGTGTTTTCCTGCAGGAAGCACGGAGGGGAATCCGTGCTTTATGATTGGCTACCTGTTACATTCAACAGGCTGCGTTAACAGTTTGGGAAAACCCCTGATTTAGATTGGAGAGGCAACGACAATCTACAGTAACACACCACAGAATAATCGGTTACGAAATCGCAAGTGACAATCTTAAGACGGCCAACATTCTAAGATTGTCCTAAAGGGAAACTGGGGTAAAAATCGTGTTGTGTGAACTATTGCATCAGGCAGTCGGACGTGCCCGTCTTCTCCATTTAAATCTAGTGATTACTGAAGGACCATATAGAATACAGACTTCATAGTCTGCACTCTTTTGATGAATGCAGTATTTATTTCCACTTTGGCTTCATGTTGTTTAGTTTTCATTCAAGTAAATTTTGTTTAATGGAGACTGAGAATCCATTTTATTTTGGTTTGGTTGTTTGTTTCTCAACTCCAATGTTAAGTGTTCTTCTGACAATAAAGTGTATCTATGTTTGGCAGGAAATTGCATGTATTATTATGTAATTCCATTAAATCAGTTTTTAAATGGTCTTCAAACAATATATTGTTTATTGCAATAATTTTTGAGACAATTAATCACATTCTGTCATTAAGCCTATCTGTTATAGGCCCAATTACAACCATGACTAGCGTTAGCGACAGAAACGGCTGCGACTGACTCAACGGAAAGTATCATCGCAGGGTGCACCATCTCTGTGACCGATCTCCTGGCCATGAATACCCTCATCAAGTCTGCAGAGCCACACTGCAGACCTGAAGGTGGCCAAACTGGTATCCAGCTGAGGATGAACAGGAAATGGAGGAAAGAGGAAGAACCGAGCCGGGCTACGGTCTTTCAGAAGTCCTCGGATGGACACAGAGGAAAGGAGAGACGCCGCCATATCCAAGAGGAGGATGTAGAGTTTGGAGGAGTTAAGCTCATGCAAGACAGTCGGAGGCTACAAGATGTGTGGGAGCCCTGCTTCTGCACCGCTTGGTTTTCTTGATGGAAAAAGCCCTGGCTCTGCAGGAACTTGGTGGCTTAACTTTGCTCCAGAAATGAACATCTCGCTGATTTTTATGATCAAATTTTGATTTTTAATCAGGACTTCATAGTGAACAATCAGGTTCACAAAGACGGTAAGTCCCACCGGTTTCACTAAGAATCGACCAGCAGCTGGACGCCTCATCTCTGCTCTTTATTTAAAAGTTTGTGTTCTGTTTGGGCCTCTGAGCCGATCAGAGGTCTTCATCATCCAGACCTGCGGCAGCAGACGGCCGCTCTCCACGCTGGAGCAAACTCGCTTTTCACAGCTAGCTCCAGAGCCGGCGGGTCGGCCACTAGCAGAGAGGCAGGCGAGCTCATACCTGGGGGCGGAGCTACAGGTGGGCAGTGGCCTCTGGTCACCTCCGCTGCAACCTGACGCCCCTTCTTCTTCTTCTTCTTCTTCTGTGGTATAAAAGAGATAAACACAGAGAAGTGACTGAACAGAACCAGAATCATAAAGAGTGGGCCAAACGGAGCAGGATGAAAATGCTTCGAAATCACCATGGTTCAGATGAAGTTCAGAGTTGAGATGAGACAAAACACCTGTTTGGGTTGTGATGATGTGTGTGTGCTGACCTGTGTGTGTTGGTGTGTGTGTGCCTTCAGCTCTGTGGAGGCGGTGGGCGGAGCCTCCTCGTCATGGACCGGATCGGACGCGCTCCTCGCTCTGCCATTGGCCAGGAACCTGAAACAGAGAGGGGAGCAGGCGTGACGGTGCAGTTCCAGCTGTGACCACCAGGGAGCAGGTCTGATCTTGTTTTGCCACATCTCTTGGTAATTTCAGAGGATTTTAAGGTTGCAGGTTGTAGGTGAGACCAAAGAGCCCAATCAGAGCAGAATAACTTCAACATGTTAACACATTAAAGCTTTAACTGATCAAGTGTAAAAAGTAGTTGGTAAAAACTTGACTCAACCACAGAGCAACTAATCATAAAGCGCTTTGAGTGGTCAAAATGACTGGAAAAGCGCTATATAAGTTCAGTCCATTTACCATTTAACACATGATTTAAAGTCATGTCATCAGATACTTCTGGAAAAATTCTGGTATTTTAAAGACTAATGTGTTTATTTTCATCCGCCATGACAAGTCAGCTGCCCTCAGTGTTTCTTGTTTGTTTTGGTCATTGTGATGACACTTGGTGTGGATGTGCGTCGTACAAACCCTCCCCACAACACACACTCCCTCAGCTCAGACACTCGGCGATTCCATGGCAACAAGGACCTGCTCTGGGCTTGGACGTTACCTGGGGACCGGATCGGAACCAGCACAGGTGTCCGCCTGTCCCTGCTGGACGTCCAGCTGGGGGTTGGTGTACCCCAGGGTCCCTGAGTAGTTCACATCCTGTCAGGACAGCAGAGCCGTCAGGACGCGCCCCGTCAGGACGCGCCCCGTCAGGACGCGCCCGTCAGGACGCGCGCCCCCAAGACCCGCCCCGTCAGGACGCGCCCCCAAGACCCGCCCCGTCAGGACGCGCCCCGTCAGGACGCGCCCCGTCAGGACGCGCCCCCAAGACCCGCCCCGTCAGGACGCGCCCCGTCAGGACCCGCCCCGTCAGGACGCGCCCCCAAGACCCGCCCCGTCAGGACGCGCCCCGTCAGGACCGCCCCGTCAGGACGCCCCGTCAGGACGCGCGCCGTCAGGACCCGCCCCGTCAGGACGCGCCCCCAAGACCCGCCCCGTCAGGACGCGCCCCGTCAGACCCGCCCCGTCAGGACGCGCCCCGTCAGGACGCGCGCCGTCAGGACCCGCCCCGTCAGGACGCGCCCCGTCAGGACGCGCCCCGTCAGGACGCGCCCCGTCAGGACCGCCCCGTCAGGACGAGCGCTGTCAGGACCCGCCCCGTCAGGACGCGCCCCGTCAGGACGCGCCCCGTCAGGACGCGCCGTCAGGACCCGCCCCGTCAGGACGCCCCGTCAGGACGCCCCGTCAGGACGAGCGCCGTCAGGACCCGCCCCGTCAGGACCCGCCCCGTCAGGACGCGCCCCGTCAGGACGCGCCCGTCAGGACAAGCGCCGTCAGGACCCGCCCCGTCAGGACCCGCCCCGTCAGGACGCGCCCCGTCAGGACGCTCCCCGTCAGGACGCTCCCCGTCAGGACGCGCGCTGTCAAGACCCGCCCCATCAGGACGAGCGCCGTCAGGACGCGCCCCGTCAGGACGCGCCCCGTCAGGACCCGCCCCATCAGGACGTGCCCCGTCAGGACGCGCCCCGTCAGGACGAGCGCCGTCAGGACCCGCCCCGTCAGGACGCTCCCGTCAGGACGCGCCCCGTCAGGACGCAGCATTCAAGTGAACGGTTTGTTACCTGGACGACAGATGGACGTCTGTTCTGCTTAGCTGCTGCGGCCGTCCTCGGGTCTCTACTGTCCAGGCGGTGGCGCTGTCGCACGATGTACTCATAGGTGCTGAGTCTGTTCCACACTGAGGAGACACAGGGCTCCAGGTGAGCCAGAGCGGCCAGCGGGGCACGCAGGTGAGAAGGGCGAGGCTCTTACTCAGGTAGATGTGGAAGCACAGCAGGTGGCAGAGAAGCCCGGACGACAGCAGGCCCGTCGCCATGGTAACGGCAGCCAGAACCGGGATGACGGCGGCCGCTGACCTGAGAGGAGCCACCGGCAGGAAGACGAACCACACGCCTGTCTGATTCTGGACTGTGGACACGACAAACACGTCCCGTCTCACGCTCCAAGCTTTGAGCCTTGTTCCACGGGGTCAGAGGTCAAGTCTTACCCAGGAAATGTTTGTCGCTGCGCAGGTTCGACGGGTCTCTGAAGAACTCGACGAAGACATAGGAGGCGAAGACCAGAACCAGAGAGACGCCCAGCAGAGCGGAGACGACGCTGTGGAGGAACAACCTGCAGGACAGGGAGACACATGAGGACACATGTCTTGCCCCGCCCCACTGTAGTGGGTCAGCCAATCAGAAGTCACAAAGAGGACAGTAACACAAGTGCGACCAAGGTGGCGTCCGGATGCAGCAGTGAGGAAACCGGTCATGACGCAGCAGAACTCTGCTTCCCTCAGCAGGCTGCTGCATCTCAATAAATGGGAATATGAGACAATATGAAGTCACACATAATGTTCATGTTTTCAACACTGCTAACACTATTCACTCTGATGAGTTTCTGCTTCCAACCAATGAAAACTTCAGACTAATAAACATTTTCATGTCCAAAACTGGGCTCCTCCCAGCAGTAGAGATGCTTTCTGGATCATAATCAGCTTTTCATTTTCTGACATGTAGCTTTGCTTCAGACTGGCAGGAAGACTTGGAGTTCCCCGGGTTTCCCTCAAAGTGTCCTGATGCTTTCGTCGTGTTGTCACCCGCAGAACTTCCTTCAACCCGCCAGCTGACATGAGGAAACAGGAAGTACTCACTTGTAGTTCCTGCTGCCCACACAGTTGTTGAGCCAGCGGCAGTGGTGGTCGAAGTTAGCAACGCACTTGTTACAGGCGCTGCAGTGCTTCGACTTGGGGCCCCTGAAACAACACACACTCCAAGTGAAGTAAAATACTACAATCCCCAGGATGCAATGCAGTATGCCAGGTTAAATGTTTCAGATGTTGGATGAGCAGCAGAGGATCATGGGAGGTTTCCAGTCCACCTCACAGGCACTTAATGCCACGTGTTGCCCAGCAGCTCTGTCCTCCATGTTTTACTGATCACTTTCTGAAGCCGTGTTTCCTGAGCAGAAGCTGCTCATGTGAGTCGGAGCCGAACCGGCTGACTGAGCTGCTGCTGCTGTGTGCGCACTGAGCGGCCTGCGGGGGGCACTCCGACCTCTTGGGGCCGATTTAATGACTCCCTAAGCGGCGGTGCAGGTAAACACGCCTGCAGCGGTTTGTGAGGCTGTTACTCACACATCCACCTGGCACAGGTAGCAGTGGCAGTTCTCGATGACGTGTGCGTGTTTGGAGCGGTCGAAGGCGGGGACCGGCCCTCTGTCGCTCCTCATCCTCACGTTGAGGTCGGCCGGATCGACGGACACGGCCAGGACGTGGACGCACAGGTGGGACACGAACAGGATGCCGGTGCACTGAGTGGCGTTTAGGGATCAGCAACAGGTGGAGACCATGAGAGATCTGAAGACCTGGAGCCGGACTCGGCCACAGCAGCTGAGCTGCCGTCCCGCCGTTTCCTTGTTTTTTGTTGCTGCGTTTCTGTTACTAATGTTTGAAAATCTTTGTCAATATTCTGCTGCTGTCAAAAAACACAATTTCACATTCATAGTGTTTCCATTAAAGAAAAGACATTAACTTTGTTCATTTGTCGTTAAAACGTAACATTTACTCGTGATAATAATCCAGCCGCTCGCGCTCATCATCATCTGCCAATCAGAGGAGACGTCAGCGTCTTACTCAGGCGTTGCAGCAACTAGCCCAGTCTACGTAAGAGTGGCAACTTTTGGAAAAACTGAGATTTTCCAGAATAATTCAACACACTGAAATGACATAATGAAGTGAAGCTGTGATGGAGCCAAAACCCAATGTCCTCCTCCTGCTACTTCCTGTTGTCGTCTTCTGCATTTCCACCAGTAGTAACGCCCAGCTGTTGATCATCTGACTCGGATGAAGTGATTAAAATTTCCATTGCAGTTTGAAAATAAATGTATGAAAAGCACTTCATCCCAGCACCAAAACGTTCAAATATGAAACTGCTTCTCAAATCAGCAAAGAATTTCCTGCTTATTCACGTCCAACAAACCGAATGCACTTTGAAAAGCTCAAATTGCTATTGTCAAAGCATTTTCAACATAAACGTTGTGCATTTTCAAAACTCTTTTTTCTATTTTTCATTGTTTTATTAAACTTTCAAATTGCCACGCAAGTCAGGAACATTTTTTACGGATAGTCAAAATTACAATTCAAGATATCTTTAATTTAGTTTAATTTACTCATTTGCTTTTAAGATATCTATGATTTAGTTTTCATCAGTCAAAACTACATTTCTCCGATCCAAAAATATATTTAAGATATCCTGAACTGGCATCATTCGAGATATCTTTTATCAGAACCAGAGTTTTCAAAATAGTTGTTTCCATTAAGCAAGTTTATTTTTATGATTTTTGTGAAACTCCAGATCACCTCTGGAAGATCAGAACTTCGGTTCGGCTGAGACCGGAACTGAACGACTGGATCGGGCCCTCTCTGCTCAACAAGATGCACAGGGTGACGCGGTTTGACCTCTGACCCCGGCCAACAGCAGGAAGGATACGATGTAGCCCGCAGGGACCCAGTGCGGCGGCAGAAGCGGGACGAAGACGCCGAAGCCGGTGACGGCGAAGTAGACGTAGAGCAGCCAGGCCAGCAGCTGGAAGGGTGAGGCGGCCAGGTCCAGCGTTGGTCCGTGAGCAGAGCGGCACCTCAGAGCGCTGGGGGTCAGGGGTCGGCGCCGTGCGGTTCGGGTTCCTGCCGCACACCTCCATCCCTGAGGGGGGGGCATCATCAGACTGAAGCTTCACCCAGAACCAGAACCACTAGATCCATTCAGCTCCTGGTTCTGGGGTCACTGGTCTCATTACTCCAGATGGTCCAACTGGTCAGTATTTCACATCTGGAGCTCAGATGATTTTTGGAATAATCACCAATAACTCTATAAAAACGGATCAATAAATAGAAACATTTCAGATAAAAACCTGTTTCTGTAAATCCGTTCCTCCAGAACCGGCCGGGTCCGGCTTTTAACTTCACATGGTTCACATTCTGAAAAATAACCTTCAATTAATCACCTTTGGCATCCAGCTATTGATCAACTAATCAATAATTCATCAGCCAATCAACTCTACTCTGAACTGATGTTCAGCTTTTTTCATGCTACAGACGATCCATAATCAAATCCAGTTTTTGACTTTTAGATTTAAAAAGAATTATTTGTTTATTTGCATTTTAATGCATTTTATCCATCAGATCAATGGTTAAAGCTGCAAGCCGGTCGAGTTCCTCCACTAGTCACACAGAGCTGTGCTGGCAGCATCATGCTGAGGGTTTCCAGATCGGACTGCTGCTGCATTATCTCTGGTTCTGGTTCTGCTGGAGGGTTCCTGCTGGAACACAGCGGTACTCTCCACTGTCGCCACATGCTTGGTGATTGCTGCTGTCAGCTGGGTTTAGATACTATAATCAACTGACTCAGATTGTTGTGATAATAATTCCAAGTGGACCTGAATGAGACCTGTGATTACGAGAAGCTGACAGGACATGGACCAATAGGAAAGGCTCCCTGAAGATGACGTCAGGATAAATAATCCGTACTGAATCGATTTACAGTTATAGACATATTTCATAGAGAGCAGATGGTTATTTTAACTAATTGTCAGCCTGGAATCTTGCACTGTTTTCATCCTTAAATCGTTAAACTGAGCACGAAAATATCCCAACAGAAATGATCAGATCAATCTTGATCATCATTGATTCAGTGTAGCGGGTCCATCTGACCCGAGACGCTTCCTCTGGTCGAACCGAGCCCGGTTCTGGAGGCAGCTCACCTGGCTAACACGACTGGTTCGGTCCGCGGCGCCTCATCTCATCCCGCATCCCTGGGTCGGTCTGTCCGGAGGAATCAGGTCAGAACCAGGCCAGACGGTCCCAGCCGGCGGCTAGCTCAGCTCCATCCACAAAGCAGAGCCCAAGGTCCGGGAGAGGAAACGAGATGCAGCCCGCTCTGTGGTCCCGTGCTAACCGGTTAACCGGCTAACTGGCTAACCGGCTAACTGGCTAACGGGCTAACCGGCTAACGGGCTAACCGGCTAACGGCTAACCGGCTAACCGGCTAACGGGCTAACCGGCTAACGGGCTAACCCTAAACAACCGCTGGTCGTCAGACTGAGCGCCCACACCGGCCACAGAAGCGTCAACCTCGGCGGAGATCCAAAACGCTTCCGGAAATATTCGTTTTTAATCAGAAATCTGTAAAAAAAAAAAAAAAACAATCAAAATTATACTGTAGCAGCTGCGCCTCGGCTCCACTGGCTGCGCTCCTGTAGCCTCTCACCGTCACGTAGCCTTGAACGCCGTTTCCTTGGTAACGCTCCACATCTGCTCCTATTGGTCAACGTCAGCCAGGACAAACCGACCGACGTCTGACGCACCGTGTGAGAAAGTCTGGATTACTTTGACTATATGGCAAGCCATTTTAGCATAAACTCGGTTTCGTCTGACTATCCTGAATTACGTTCTAGGCAGTGGCGGAGCCAGAGGGGTGGCCGGGGTGGCACTTGCCACCCCTAACAGGCCCCTGGCCACCCCTACTGCCACCCCACTGGAAATGGTCATTTTAAAATATAATACTTATGAGATCGGCAAAGATTTGCCAGGAAAACTGTAATTTCCGACTCTCCCTGAAGGCAGCCCGATGCCCGACGTTGTTCATTGGTTAAACTGACATGTGGGTCCTGCTTGATCCAAAACACATCAACGGCTTTAGAGTTACAGCGTCAGGAGTTCTGCAGGTATTTCCAACATTTTACCGCTCAGCAGTAACCGCTGTTACCTTCCTAATGAGAGGCGGCTTTGTCATACATTTCTAAAAAGAAACAAAATGGTTGTGCACCGCTGCGTAGTCGTTTATTATATTAGCCATGCTAGTGCTGATAGATCGTGTTTTAGACAGATTCTTTTAACATGTTTTAGTGACATGCTGCCCTCTAATGTTTTATATCTCCCAGCTCTTGCTTGAAATGTGTGGTAAGAATATGAGAAAAACCATTAAGTTCTATAATGACTGAAATGTAAGTAGGCTATGTCATATGAAAGCTTTGAATTATAACCTAACTAGTTATATTAATTAATTTTGAACGAAAGGAAACAAATATTTTTTCCTTTCGTTCCATGGAACTGTCCATTTGTATATGGACCCCTCTGATAAAGCCTTGCTCACCCTTTGGCCACCCTTGAAAAAAAGTCTAGCTCCGCCACTGGTTCTAGATCTCTAAAAATGCATTTTGACTAGACAAAACTACATTTGGACTATCCGGAATTGTAATTTCACATATCTGCATTTACATTCTGACTAGTAAGAATAATAATTGACGACATCTTCAATTACATTTGACGAGTCAAAATTCCTTTCAAGATATTTCAAATTACGACACTGGATCCGTCATTAAACGGGACACATCCGTAATTACAATGTAAGATATCAGGAACTTAATGATGGCTTGTCAAAATTACAATTTTAGATATTTGAATTAAGAATTGCGTGAAGCCCCTTCCTGCTGTCCCAACAGTTGCCTGCAGAACTTTATTTTTCTTGCACAAAATTGTCAGTAAATGCCACAAATGAGAAAGATTAGAAATTAGAAAGAGCTCAGCAATGTTGGATATTGCCAACATCGGCCTTAAAAGTTGCTTATAAGACTATAAAGAGTCTTATAGCCTTCAAATATGAAACTGCTTCTCAAATCAGCAAAGAATTTCCTGCTTATTCACGTCCAACAAACCGAATGCACTTTGAAAAGCTCAAATTGCTATTGTCAAAGCATTTTCAACATGAACGTTGTGCATTTTCAAAACTCTTTTTTCTATTTTTCATTGTTTTATTAAACTTTCAAATTGCCACGCAAGTCAGGAACATTTTTTACGGATAGTCAAAATTACAATTCAAGATATCTTTAATTTAGTTTAATTTTGTCTAGTCATTATTTGCTTTTAATTTAGTTTTCATTAGTCAAAACTACATTTCTCCAATCCAAAAATACATTAAGATATCCTGAACTGGCATCATTCGAGATATCTATAATTAGGATTATGACTAGTCAAAACTAAAATTGAGATATTTTGAATTTACTTTATGACTAGTCATAATTTAGTTGAAGATTTCTGAAATGTAATTTATTGTAATATCTTAAACTGAAGTCTCCAGACAACTCAATGGTAAATGTGACGTCATTTTGACGTCAGAATGTAATTAGAGATATCATAAATTGCTAAAACATCATCATAAAACAATTAGAGATATCTGGACTGTAAGGCCGGAAAGCCCAAATTTATCTTAAAATGGTTTGCCACAGCAACACAGTCTTCATGCAGATGTCGGTTCGATTCCCGTCCAGGCCTTGTATTTATATTTGTTATAACAAATTGAAATGAAAATAATAACAGAAAATAATAGAATATAAAGGATAGCGTCAGCCAATGGGTTAGAATTAACTGAAATTAGAGAATATGTGGAGTGTTTTTATTCTTTCACTTTTTTTGAACAAGACAGAAAATGAAAATATTTCATCAGATCAACAAAGAACTGTATTTTTGCATTTACATTTCTGAATAAAATAGTTCAAAATAGATGATATATTTTAAAAATTCTTAAATTCAATCCCAAAGAGAAATGAAAGAATATTTCAATATTCTGTCAACATCAAACCAATCCTTATTATGTGTCCTGTCTGAGCATTTGGTGCTAATTATATATCATTTCAAACTGGAATGGAAGCAGGTCAGAACCAGGTTCTGGAATGGAAGCAGGTCAGAACCAGGTTCTGGAATGGAAGCGGGTCAGAACCAGGTTCTGGAATGGAAGCGGGTCAGAACCAGGTTCTGGAATGGAAGCAGGTCAGAACCAGGTTCTGGAATGGAAGCAGGTCAGAACCAGGTTCTGGAATGGAAGCAGGTCAGAACCAGGTTCTGGAATGGAAGCAGGTCAGAACCAGGCCAGACGGTCCTGGTTCAACATTAGTAAAATAGCTGTTTTGGGTTTTTTTTAAAATAAAAGAACAGAACAGTTTTCACAATGATCATTTTTTAAATATACAACATTTAGTAATCGCTTTCATGCTTGCAATCATAAATATCTTCAACATATGTGTCCCCAGTGCTGAAGTATTCCATGGTACATAGCAGGAAATGAAAGGACTAAAGTTATACCCCTAATTTCATAGATGAATCGATTAACGTCCTTCCAGAAGGTCTTCAACTGAGGACAGTCCTAACAGATATGAAAGCAGTCTGCAGCGACCAGACCGCACTCAGTCCAGCTTCACCTCTGCTTTGGCGTAATAAAAGTCGGACTAGATTCTTCCAGCAGAAACGCTGCCATGATAAAGAGTTCCTCCTGCTTCCTTTTCCATCTTTGTCTGATGTAATCAGTTGAGTTCTTAGATGTAAAGTTTCTGTAATATTTGCCGATGGTGCCTGTTGTATTTTTGAAACTATAAATATTTGTACTATTCCTGGTTCTGCACCCAAGTCAGGTATTTTGATTTCCTTCCTAAAGAAACTTTGGACCTGCAAATAACGGTAGAAATCTTTCCCAACCCTCTTTCCCCCCCGATCCCCAGGCAGCTGCAGGGTCGAGTATCTTACTCTTGGCCTCTTCTTGCCTTCTTGCCTTATGAAATGCTGATCCCACTCCCTAAGCTGTTTTGCTGGAACCTCTACTGGAAGTGCTGCACATTTGTACAATAGTCTTGGAAGAACATTTATCTTCATTGTTCAGATCTGCTGCAGAGGTCAAGGGGAAGCAGGCTCCACCTGGCCAGGTCCTCATATATTTTCTTATTTATTTGATTGTTATTAATTTCATATAACTGAGCAAATTTTTTGTTAATATACTCCATTTGTAATTGATGCCAATTAAATTGGTAACTATTTAACAGTTTTGACAGAACACAATGGAAGGTCAAAATTTCATTTTTTGGTATTTTGAGATTATATCCTGAGAGTTTTCCATAAGTTTCCAGGATGTTCATAAGCGATGATATGCCAGATTCAGGGATTTTAATTAGTACTAAAACATCATCTGCATATAAACATATTTTGTTTCCCACATTCTTTATTTGTCACCCCCTCCAACCTGGACTCCTCTCTAATAACCTGAGCCAGTGGTTCGATAAAAACATTCAAGAGTCGGCTTCAAGGACAGCCCGGTGTCATAATGGAGTAAATAGTCCAGCCCTTATGCAGAACACGACTCAGGAGAATATGTGAGTTAAGAGTAAAGTTTATTGAAAATACTGCTGGTGGGTACTGGACGCTCGGGTCGGGTCCAGGGGGGAAGGCAGCGTCAGGAAACAGACTGTTCACTGGAGAGGCAGAGTTGGTGGTGAGTTCAGGTTTATGGGAAATGACAGCGTTGTGAGTGAAGGAACAGATCTTACTTGTGAACGGCTGTTTTGAAAGGCGAGGGGTACGGTAATGTCCGGGGTCTCAGTTCTTTGTGGTTCCAGGCAGTTGTGAGACTTGTCGGCAGGGATCCAGGAGGCAACGGGAGCATGTCGGAGGGCGGACAGGCAGGTTAAGATCAGCGGCTGTAGAAGAGCGGCGCGACTGCCAGTCGTGGATTTCCTGAAGAAACTGGTTGGTGCACGGAATGAGGTGAGTCTGGGGGCTCGAGCAACCTGTGGATTCCTTCCACGGCGTCACGAGGGTAGACTGGAACACGGGGAGCCAGGAGGAAACACCTGAAGGTAAGAACAGCAACAAGGAAGATTTTCACAAAGAGCTGATAAACAGAAGCAAGCTTCTAGGGCAGGGGTGGGCACTCCAGGTCCTGGAGGGTCTCCTGCAACTTTTAGATGTGTCTCTACTTCAACACACCTGAGTCAAATAATGAGGTCATTAGCAGGACTCTGGAGAACTTGA